ATACCTATACGACCACCCTGCGGGGGATAAGGGGGTGGGGGCGTTGGGGGGGCAGCATTCGGCAAAAACGGCGATTGTTGTTCTGACGATGCCTGTGACGCGCTGTCCCCGCGTGCGCTAATCAACCGCGCGAACTTCACTTCAGCTCTAGTCGACGTGGTCGAACGCGCGTGCTGCGGTGCCACAGTGACTGTTGGCGGCGCCACCCGCTGCTGCCTCGGTTGCAGGTCTGGCGCTCGAGGCACGAGCAAAGCTTGGTGCCAGCGGCGCGTGCGCGTGGGTGGCAGCATATCCTGACGGCGCTGGGGCTCCCACGTCAACACCTGACGCAGTGGCAACGCCACGGGGGGATTTCGGGACCCCAGCGGGACACCGGCGGGACACCGCGGGCCACCGGCCGCCGGAGGAGAAACATTTGGTCCGGCCGCGGCCCAGCCACAGGAGGATCTCCTTTCGCCCGCACACGCAGCTTCGCTTCGCCCGCACGCATGCACGGCACGCACGACACGAACCCGAAACCGAAGTCGATTTCCCGGTAGGGGGTGTCTCCGTTTCACGTTGGATTCACTCCCCAACCCCCGATATATGATTACATATATATATATATATACACGACCACCCTTCGGGTGATAAGGAGGTTGTGGGGGGGGCCGGGGGTGGGGGGAACCAACATCTGACTCAATCGATCTCGCCATCGATCTCACTCAACGGGACGGGACACCACGGGACTTGTCGATCTCATTGTCGATTTCATTATCGATCACACTCAACGGGACACCACGGGGCACCACGGGACACGACGGGACACCGCGGGACATTTTTCCATGCCATTATCGATCTCACGATCGATCTCATTATCGATTTCACGCAACGGGACACCACGGGACACTTCGGGACACCTGTCGATCTCACCATAGATCTCACTTTCGATCCCGCTCAGCGAAACACCGCGGGACACCTCGGGGCACCACACCGATCTCGATTTCACTATTGATATCCCTCAACGAAACGCCACGGGACACCACGGGACACCTCTCGATTTTACGATCGATCTCAATATCAATCTCATTCAACGGGACACCACAGGACACCTCGGGGCACCACATCGATCTCAGTGTCGATCACACTATCGATATCACTCAACGAAACATCACCGGACACCACGGGACACCTGTCGATTGCACTATCGATCTCATTATCGATCCCATTCAACGGGACACCACGGGACTCCTCGGGGCACCACATCGATCTCACTATCGATCTCACGATCGATTTCACTCAACGAAACACCACGGGACACCACGGGGCAGCAGCGGGTCACCAGCGGGACACTGGGCGGCACCGGCCGCCGGAGGAGTTACATTTGGTCCGGCCGCGGCCCAGCCACAGGAGGATTTATTCTCGCCCGCGGGCGGGCGAGAAATAAGTCTCCTGTAGCTGAGGCGCGGCCGGACCGAAAGTCTCCCTTCCGGCAACGGGTGCCCCGCTGTGTCCCGCCAGTGTCCCGCTCGGGGGCCGGTGGCGCGCGGTGTCCCGCCGGTGTCCCGCCGGTGTCCCGTCGGTGTCCCCATGATGATGATGATGATGATGATGATGATGATGATGATGATGATGATGATGAGTATGACGATGATGATGATGATGATGATGATGATGTTGATGACGTTGACGATGATGATGATGGTGATGGTGGCGATGATGATAGTGTCCCGATGATGATGATGATGATGATGATGATGATGATGATGATGATGATGATGATAATGATGATAATGATGATAATGATGATAATGATGATGATGATGATGATGATGATGATGTTGACGATGCTGATGATGATGATGGTGATGGTGGTGATGATGATGATGCCCCGATGATGATGTTGATGATTATGATGTTACTGGTGATGATGATGGTGCCCGATGATGGTGATGATGATGATGATGATGATGATGTTGATGATCCTGATGATGTTGATGATGATCAGATGATTTGATGATGATGATGAAGATGATGATGGTGGTGCCCCGATGGTGATGATGATGATGATGATGATGAGGTTGATGCTGTTGATGATGATGGTGATGACGATGATGGTGTCCCGATGATGATGATGATGTTGATGATGCGGATGATGATGAGCTGATGATGATGATGATTGTGATGATGGTGGCCCAATGATGGTGATGATGATGCTGATGATGATGATGATGGTGCCCCGATGATGTTGATGATGATGGTGATGATGATGATGGTGACGATGCTGATGGTGTTCCGATGATGATGGTGATGTTGATGATGATGATGTTGCCAATGATGATGATGATGATGATGATGTTGATGTTGATGATAATGATGATGATGATGATGATATTGATGGTGTCCCGATGATGATGATGATGATGATGATGATGATGATGATGATGATGATGATGTTGATGATGATGTTGTTCATGATCATGATGATGAGGTAATGATGATGATGATGGTGTTCCGATGATGATGATGGTGTCCCGATGATAATGATGTTGCTGGTGATGATTGTGACGATGATGGTGTCCCGATGAGGATGATGATGCTGATTATGGTGATGATGATGGTGTTGATGATGATGATGATGATGAGGTGATGATGATGATGATTGTGCCCCGATGATGTTGATGATGATGTTGATGGCGTTGATGACGATGATGTTGATGATGATGATGATGATAATGATGATGATGATGATGATGATGATGACGTTGATCGTGATATCGACTGTGGTATCGATAGTGGGATCGATAGTTAGACCGAATGTGAGATCGTTTGTGAGATCGATAGTGAGATCGATTGTGAGATCGATAGTCAGATCGATTGAGAGACCGATCGAATGAAATAGATCGAGTGAGATCGATTGTGAGATCGATCGAGTGAGATCGATCGAGCGAGACCGATAGTGAGATCGATAGTGAGATCGATAGTGAGACCGATCGGGTGAGACGTTGGTTCCTCCCCCCCCGAACCTCCTTATCAACCGAAGGGTGATCGTATATGTAGATATATAGTTTTATTTTATAGGTCTAAATATACACAATCACAAATTGAGTTCTATATCTATACATATAGTTAAATGGGCGCCCTGAGGAGATAATTCGATAGGTCGATATATAGATGAGCATATGTGCGCGACGCTTTAGGAAAGTTGAAGACACCACCGAAGAACCCAGAGCCATCGCAAACCCGCCGCATCCCCCTCCCCCCCAACCTCCTTATCAATCGTAGGGTGGTCCTGTCGGGGTTGTGATCTTTTCGTTCCTCACTAGAGAGACAGAGAGAGAGAGAGAGAGAAACAACAAAAAAACAGAAATGAAGAAAGAAAGAGAAGGACTATACCTCCAACGGGCGTGCATATTTCAAGAAGCGTCCCCCAGAGCTCCTGATACCTTACCCGTTTTTGATGGCCCTGGGGCCCAGAAACAGCCCTCGTACGCAGAAGATGCCGAAACGGAGTTCCCTCGTGTTTTTGTTAGGACTCCTGAGGCCTGGGGAGGTCCAGGCAGGGAGGGGGGAGTCAGAGCAGCCCAGGACGAGAGAGGGAGAGGGAGGGTTCGTCTGGTACCCGTCGCTGCCCGCCGTTGCCAGCAGTCCTCGGCGGCGGCCGCCACAGAGGCGAACCATCTGTCCGTGAGGGATGCCAGTGGGGCCAGCTCTAGATTCGAGGATCAGACCTCGCGGCCCGAGAGCGCGCAGTGCGCAGCGCTTCGGGCCTGGCGCGCAGCGAAGCGCAAAGCTGGGTGGCCGCGGCCTATGGTAGGTTCAGTGTCGTGCCGACGCGGCGGCGACCCCAGCGCGGGCCTGCAGGGTTGAACGTCGCCAGAGGCTGCGAATCGGCCGATATTGAATGATCTGCGCTATCGGAAAACGCAGATCGTTCAAAGTTGAAGGATCAACGCGGTGTCAGAAACCAACGGCCACATGGTCACGACCCGAATTTGCCATACTCCTCCCAGACGTCCAGGATTGCTCGGGGTCTTTTGGGGACCTCCGCTCTAATGCAGATAGCTGAGCAAGCAACAGATGTATCTCTCAACTGCAGATTCGTCCGGGGACCCCTCCCAGAGTTCAACTTGGCCGTTTTTGCGAGATGCGCCCAGCCATGGCGACGAGGGGAGCCTGCGAAGGCACGGATATTGAGGAGGAGGAGGAGGAGGAGGATGAGGAGGACTCGGAGGAGGAGGGAGGTGATCGCTGAAGGCCCCCAGAGGCTTCCACAGGTCCTCAGAGCAGGCTTATGGAGGTCTGTGGAGACCCGAAAAGAGTCAAGCGATTCAAAAACCTTGAGGAGGTCGCCGTCGCCGTCGTCGCTGAGTACGTGCCCCCAGAGGCCGAAGATTGCCAACGAACAATCCGACATGGTTTTTGTTCGCGTTGCGAGGGACTCTGGGTTACTCCCTCCATTCTCTCCCTTCCTCAGTCGATCCCATGGCCTCTCGTGAAGCTCGGTATGGCCAGAATTCCGATGTGGATCCAGCCGTGGCGACGAGGGGTCAAGAGAAACGAGCCAGGGGCGGAAAATAACAAACATCGTTCCTCGATATTCCTCGATCTTCATTGTGGGCCACAGGTCTCCGTTCCAGGCGACCCAAAGGGGGCGGAGCAGATGGGGTCGGAGGATCGCGCCGTATGGCCGATGCATTGATGATGCGGCGCGATCCTCCGACCCCCCCTGCGCCAGTCGCGTCTGGGCGGCCTCCAGGGCAAGGGTCGCCAGGAAGTAGACGGGTGTTGGAGGGAGGTTGCCCTCCTCGTTCAGGCCCCGGGGGCCTTCAGCTGGCCCCAGGGGCCGTGGAAAACAATTCAGGATGAGGAGCCAGTCCTGGGAAAGCCCCCGAGGTCTGAGACCCATCTCCCTCGGGGCCGGTGTCTTGCACGTCGGGAGGAGCGAGGGGGCGCGAGGCACGAGGTGCGGTGAGCAAGAGGAGAAGGAAGCCCGACTCCCTCCCTCGGTGCCGCGCCAGGGCGAGAGATGGCTGCGGCCTCGCCCCCGCCGCTGATCGAGCGCCTGCGCGTGGTGGACGCGCGCCTGCACGCGACGATGGCCGCCACGCTGGCCGCACCGCCGCTGCGGGGGCGGGGCGGCTCAGGCTCGGGGTGCCTCGAGGGTCGAGGCTTCAGAAGGGAAAAGCAAAAGCAGTGCTGCCGAGCCCAGCCGAGTGCGACGAAAATGCTCTCGAGGAGATGGGCCCCGTGCCAGCAGTCGCACGGTCAGCGCGCGAGATGCAGGCTGGCTCAGGAACAGGTGCCCCCCCGAGATGGGGGCTGTGCGCAAGTGGCGTGCACGAACAGTTGCGCACTTGCTACGTAACGACGTCCTTCGTAGCGAGGTTTCTGGGCGGTCTTCGCCCGTTTTTGGCTGGATGATCCTTGATATTCTGGTCCATGCGCATCCCAGGGGAGACTCTGGGGTCGAATCTTGACCTCAGAGCCCAGACATCCAGCGGCTGGAAATGATCGAGGCGGCAGGTGTGCCATCATCACGCCGGCCCCTTTGGGAGGCTAGCCTCCAGGCACCTTGAGAGGAGTGAAAAGGAGAGGGCAGCAACGGTGGCGGTGATAACGGTGGCACTGCCGGCGATAGCTGCAATAGTAGGAGTTACGGGAGCCCGATCAAGGTGCAGACAAGAGCAGGCAAGGATGATGAGGATCATGGAGCGCGAAGCAAAGCTTTGGTTGTGTATAGGGTTTCGCCCGAAGCGATCCCGAGGAAGTAAGGCGTTCTGCATATCATTCGGCGGTCAAGGGGAGGAGGTGACCGAGAATAATTACGCACAGCTTAACTCACGAGGCATATTCACTGTGTTTCCTCTCCTCCCCATTCTCCTCTGCATCATACCCTCCATCCTCCTAAGATACCTACCTCCTTAGGTGCTCCCTATTCCTGAGGCGCGTTCGGTCACAGGACGCTCTCTCATGGGTTCCGCCGCTTCTCGTGTCCCTCCTCGTCCTCGTCTTGTCCCCCCTCATCCTCCTCCTAGCCCTCCTCCCCCTCATTCTTGTCCTCTCCCCCCATCCGTTTCCTCCCATTCCATTTTTCATTATCCTCTCTTTTCCTTCCCCGTCCTCCCCCTCTCATCCTCAGCCCGCAGGGGTGCGCTGGCCGGCCAGACTTGCGCTGGGCGAGGATCGAGATAAGGGACGGCCGCCGCCTACCACTCCTTTTACCCCCCCTTCCTCGTTCTCCTGTTTCCCATCATCCTCCTCTTCCTGTTCCCCCTCCTGTTCCTCCTGTTCCTCGTCCGCCCACCCCTTGCTCTTCCTCGTCCTCATCCCTCATCTCCCCCCTATTCTTCTCGTCTGCTTCCCTGGTGCAGCTCGAGGGCCTGGAGTCCACGCTGCGCGAGATGCGCACTGCGCAGCTCCTTCGAGGCCGAGATCGTGGCGCGCCAGGCGACTGTGGCGGCACACTTCCCGCAGCCCGCGACAGCGTTGGACGGCACCAGGGCGTCGGTGGACATTGTGCTGTCTCAGGGGCCCAGATGTCCGCAAGCCATCTGGCGCAGACCTTTTGGGGCGTGCGGCGTCCACGCGGATCTGTCCCATCGACAGGCGCTTTCACGTTGAGTGCGCGCACGTTGGCCGTATCCATCGCCGCGTCGACCGGTGCCTACGCGCTGATCACGCGAGTTGTCCGTATTCATCGTTGTCGTCCCTTGGGGGAAACCCGCCAAATGTCAGCCAAATGTTGCCAAATGTCAGCCAAATGTAATCGTTCACCGTTGTCTTTCATTCCAGCCAAATGCTTGCCAATTACATCGCCGACGTTATGTTCTTTCTCGTTTGCGTTGTATATAATATGTATATGTTTCTCCCTCTCTGTGTCGTTGCCTTCTCTCTACATTATTGTACCCGCCCATCCACTCGCCATGCATTAATTTCCTGTGTCATCTACGTTCCCTTGCCATATGATTCTCCTTCGCACTTGGCGGCCGCATGCACGCCGCCTTCCCGCCCCAAGGACCCAAAGATAGGGCCAGATTTTCAGCTGGAGGCTGCTGTGCACCTTTTCGCAGTTCGTGCTTTCTCTCCGTGCCCTGGACACCATGTGTCGCAATTTCATTGGTGTAACAACTCGGCTCATCGCCTTAACCCGTTATTTCTCTCGTTGCCGAAGCCGTTCTGCCTCCAGTAAGCATTTTGGCCTCGCCGGCGTGTTTGCGTCGTTCTAGCGATCCGTGTGTCCGCCAGCCGCAGCGCTGAACTCGTCAGTGTTTATCCCTCTCTCTCCCGGTATGCCCTTCTCTCGTAGCGCGGTCCGCAAAGCATATTCTCTCTAGGGACTTCGGAAGCATCGCCAGTTCGTTGTGGGCGTCGCCCCGGACGTGGTTCATTTGAGGCAAAGTCGCTTGCCCCACTTCGGCCGTTGCTGGATTTGGACAACATTCGTTGTTGGGCATCGTCCTAATCTTCTTCGTTCCCATTTCGGGCGTGCTATAACAAATGCCGAAAACATCCGAAAGAGAGTGTTCTACCACTACTGGCGGAAACCCCAGGGGGGTCCTTGGGGGTTCCTAACCCCCCCCCCCCTCGCAAACCGGGGGGGGGTCATACCGGTTCGAACCCCTTCACCCCCCCCCAGTCCATCATGAAAAGGGGGGCGGGGACACTACCAGTTCGACTCGCCCCCCCCCTCGGAAATTGGGGGGGGTTCGTACCGGTTCGAACCCCTCACCCCCCGCTCGAAAACTGGGGGGTCACTACCGGTTCGAACCCCCCCACACTTGCAGCTGGCAAACGATTCCCGCTCCTCGGGACAGTTGGACAATGGTGGGGATACTGGGACAGTGGTGGGAACGGTGGTGGTGGGGACAGTGACGCGGGGACAGTGGGACAGTGGTGCGGACAGTGGTGGGGACGGTGGTGGTGGGGACAGTGGTAATGGGACAGCGGGACAGTGGTGGGGACAGTGGGACAGTGGTGGGGACGGTAGTGGTGGGGACAGTGGCGAAGGCGGTGGTGAGGACAGTGGTGGAACAATAGTACAGTGGGGAAAGTGGTGGGGACAGTGGAGACAGTGGGACAGTGATGGGGACAGTGGGGACGGTGGGACAGCACAGTGGGACAGTGGCGGGGACTGTGGGATATTGGTGGGAAGAGTGGGGACAGTGGAACAGTGGTGGGGACCGTGGGGAAAGTGGGGAGAGTGGGACCGTGGTGGGACAATGGTGGGGAGAGTGGGGACAGTGAGAAACTGGCGGGGGCACTGGTGGGGAGGGGGAGGGGTTCGAACCGGTAGTGACCCCTCTTCTGGTTTTCGAGGGGGGGGGAGGGGTTCGAACCGGTAGTGGCCCCCTCCAGTTGTCCGGACGTGGGGGGGAGGGGTTCGAACCAGTAGTCCGGAGGGGGGGGGAGGGTAGGGGGGGGGGTGCCGGATGGAGGGGGGGAGGTCAGCAGGGAGGGAGGGGAGGGGGGACCCCCGGGCTCCGGAGGAAGAGGGGGGGGATTTTCCACAGTAAAGCGGCGGTGGATCACGCTCTCTCAAACATCCTAGGCGTATATCGTCTACCCTGTGTTCCTCGTGAAAGCCCGCCGCCGTCAAGAGCCCCGTCATGGATGACCGAGATCATCCAGACCGTCAGAGACACGAATTCCAAGCTGTCCATGTTCGAGCAGAACTTCGAGCGGGAGGCGTCGTCGATGCGCTCGCCCCTCGAGCTGCATGACAAGTATTCTCGGGCACTTCATGAGAGGATGATCGTCGTGGAAGCTGGCAGCCAGGAGTCGATCACAGCAGCTGTCGGCTGCGTTTGATGAGAAGTTCAGTCCACTGCAGTCCCAGATCGCGGCGATGCAGGCTCAGGTGCAGGCTCACTCCAGTGGAGCATCGGCGTCTGGGAGCTCCCGTTCACCTTTGTTGCCAACTCATGTGAAGGTGTTCGTGGTCCAGACGGTCCGCGCGTCAACAAGACCAGGCGCTGGGCCGGCACATTCCCGAGAGCTCTCACATCACAGCAGCGTCGAGCCCACTGGGACAACATCGTGGCGCCTTAGACCCCCCAGAGCCTACGAGACGATACCATTCCGAAGATTGCCAGAGTTGCGGAGTCCTACTCGGTCGACTTCTCCAGCGAGGAGAACGCGAATTCCTTTGCAAACGTGTGCAGCGGTGCGGACTTGAGCTGGTGCGATCCCCGCGACAACAAAGCCAGCATAATCTGAGTTATAGGAGACGTACCCATCGATGTTCATGCCCGCCAAAGAGCTGCAAGCCTCATTTTGGCAGCACACATCAAAGCTACTGAAGAAAAGAGGCCGGCCGCTGGGCAATCCCAAGTTACGTGTGGATGTTTGTCAAGATATTGTGCATCTTTCGTCGCTGGAGGACGTGTATGAATTGTACCGCATCAAAGGAGCATCATAGTCCGGTTCCTTGAAAGCTTCCGCCACTGGCATGTCGCGGGCAAGGACGTGCTCGACCTGCTCGAGAGTGTCGCAGCGGTCAGCGGCGCCAATCGATGGGAGCCTCTGCCACGAGACCACTCTGAAGAACGCGCGGCTCAGCACGCCCAGCCCCCAGGAATACATGGGCGCGAGGTCGGCCTCAGAGAGCCACCTGCTAGATTACGGTTGCTGTGCCTGCCTGTCCTGCCTGTCTGTTCGCTCTCTGTTCGATTTTCTGCTCATTTACCCCCCTGTGACCCCAGTGGCCCTGTGCAGTCCTCCTCTTTTCTCATTGCCGAAGGCCCCCATAACATTGGCGACGTGGAGCGCGCGCGCTATGCGGTAGCGTCCGGGTTCCGAAGAAACGCGACACTGTTATGCTCCGAGAGACCCATGGGAACGAAGAGGGTCTTGAAGAGCTCCGACGTCGGCTATCCAGGTTTCGGGGATTTGGGTCATTCGTGGAGCTTGAGACCGCTGGAGGAGTCGCCATCATGGCCCATGAGATGTCCGGTTCCCTCTTTCAGCTCTTATTCTTTTTTCTCTGCGTTTCGAGGTCCAGGAAATCATCATGGGCCGAGTGGATCATTATAGTCCAGCTGCCAGGCGCGGCAGGCGCTCTCCTGCTCGTCAACCTCCACATCGGCCCGCTCTTTCCCACGCTGCCATCAAGCTCCAGATTCGTCAGATTGCCACCGAGTCTCTAGGCATCGAGTCGGCCGCCACTGTGCTTGCCGGCGATTTCGATTTCCGCGCAGATGGGGAAGGTCGCCTGCGCCCCAGAGATGGTACCGCGGTTTGTTCTTCTCCTGACCTTTATAACTACTTCCAGGACCAGTTCCGAGGATATGCAGAAATATTTCAGCCTCACCACACTCAGAAAAAATATCGGGGACGATGGGGTTATCGCCGTGTGCCAGACTGCTCGCATATATGTCTCTACCCCTTCCATGCCCCTCCTCGACAGCAAACCCGCTGCTGGCGTCGTCCTCGAATCTCTGCCAGGGCAGTTTTCCTAGCGCCTAGCGACCGAGTTGCGGCGCCCCTCCCGCGCGCGCCCCCGTCCGCCGACGCCAGCCCCAATCGCGAGCTGCAGCGGGCGGCCCGTCCCGTGCACTTACGAGAAGAGCCCCGCCTAATCATTGATGATGTAGATCTCTCCGATGACCCCGTTCAGAGCGTTTCCATTGCGAGTTCGACTTTTCCACGAACTTCTCCCCGCAGCGGGGCGAACGAGGACTGCCGGCCGACCCTTCGATTCGCCCCGAACTCACCGATCAGCGCGCCGCTTGACTTCGCGACCACGCCGTTGCGCGGGCCCCGCGCGACCGCCGGGGCTTACCTTCGCAGTATTACGGGCGCTCATGGACTCCCGCTCGCCTCGCCAAATGACTCGGCCAAGGCCCTAGCGGACTACCAGGGGGAGATTGGGAAAAGGCGCTTCGTGGGCCGTGAGAGTTTCCAGTTTTTGAACCCGTTCATCCAAACCGTCTCGCTTCGACATCTTTTGCGATCCCTGAAGGCCAACTCGAGGATATCATTCGTCGATGTCGCGATTCCGCACTTGGCCCCAATGGCACTCAGTATGGGGCATGGATGGCTGGCGGCGCCGCTTTCGCTGCAGCCCTTTACGATCTGCGCCAGCACGCGCGCGCCGGCGGCGAGGCCCACGGCGCGTTCCACAGAGGACTCGCTGCTCTTCTTCCGAAATGAGATGGTCATCTCGCCGCGGTGGCAGAGCAGATTTGCTTATGATTCTTGTTCGGGCCACGGTTTTCACGCGGCAAAATCGGCGCGCGCCTGGCGCCCACAGGGCGCGCTAGGGGCGACCGGAACATCGCCCGCAGGAGCGCTCGGGGGCGCGCTGGGGCGAACGCCCGGGCTGGCCCAGGAGAGCGCCGAGATCGGCGCTTAGGAAAGCGCCATTAAAATTGCCCGTGGTATCGCGCAGACACTAGCTCAGTGGGGCGCCCGAAAGAACGCCTGGAAACGCGCCCAGAAGCGCCCGATTTCGCGACCGATTTCGCGTCCGCTTTTTTCATATCGATTCAGTATCAAAACGCACCAGACGCAAATCGGAGTTGGACTCGGACAAAAAATCGGGCGCAACATCGGACCCACATCGGACCCACATCGGATGCAAACTCGTACGCAACATCGGGCACAACATCGGGCGCAAGTGGCGTCGAAGTTCTGCGCTCGGATGAGGCAGCGCATCGCGGCGCGCCACTGCGAGGTCTTGTCGAATGAATATTGGGAACTCACGCGTGCAATTCAGCGATGGAGTTTAGCGTTGCGTCGGATGACAAGTGGCGGTCTCGGGTTCTGTCGAAGTCGGACCAGGTCGATCAAGGAAGTAGATCCCCGCTTCTACTGACGTTTTTCTCAGCGCACAGGAACCCGACACCGACGCCAAGAAGCCGTTGGAAAAAAGGACAGATTGCAGCCTCTGTTGAATGCCGTCGCCCGTAGCTTCGGGCTCGTATGTCCCGCGCTGATGAATGCCAGCTCTGAGCGCGCGGGGAACGCAACGGGCCGTCTCGAATTCCCCAAGCGAGCGCCAGGATTTCCACGGGCCGCGCGAGGCCCGCGGGCCGTGCGATTCCAGCC